CATTCTTAGGAAACAGTGTTCAAAATAAGAGAGCAATTGAGATAATCCTCTCCTTTTCACTTTTATCTTCAACTTTTATGCAGATCTTTTAAAACTTGGTGGGTTTTAGGATGTAAAACAAATCTCCCACCCATACCATTCCCCATCTCAGACTACATTAACCGTGCCCGACTGGCACGGGCGAATGATTGGCTCATTACTCACGTGTTACTCACGTGGAATCCGAGTGCATTCTTTACTTATTGTGTTTTTCGTTCGTTGCGAAATGAGGAGACTGAGATATTTTACAAACTTAGTGTCTATGTGGCATGCATACATTTGTCAACGTTTTGGTACGATGCCAGTAGTTGTAGCGAGAGCGGAAGGGAGGTCGTCGCATACTCGTCACTTGTCAAGCTAAATTGCCGTCTAGTGTTGTTTCTAATGGCACTAGACTTCGTAGCAGGATGTCTTGGAGGTTTGATCGATCATGTAGCTTGAATGTATGTTTAGATTGTTAACTCACCACAGGGGATATAAACATAATGGTGTAAATTGTAACATGCGGTGTTTTTTTCTTCAGGATTGTCTGGTATAGTAGTGGGGCATCCTTTCGATACCGTCAAGGTAAGTTATACTTCCATTTCAAGGAGATAGCGATTAAAATTCCATGTTCGTGATCAGACAACTTTCCGCTACGGACAAAGGCACGAGCTTGTAAGTTGTATTCCGCGTTTACCGGTGTCTTTAGGTCATTTGATCTTCAAAATGACACCAATTTACTGAGTTGTTGTTATTTTCTGTTAGGTTCGCCTTCAGACTCAAGTAACCAAGCGATACACAGGGACGTTCAATTGTTTTACTCAGATAATAAAACATGAAACGGTGAGGTGACGCCAAACAACAGACATTTCAAAATATTGTAGACAGAACGACATAATAGTTGTCTGATATCTTGTGTTGTTATATTGGGTAGCCCTACATGCCATTGAGTTTTGTATTTTTGCTAAAGAGAGCAACATGAATGAAGAAGCTGACTTGTCTTCGGACCTAAAATTGTTTCTAGTGATTAAACTTTGATTAACATTCAATTTCTGCAAATCAAGCAGACAGGTAGTTTGTAGGGCGTGAAACTACCGGATGCCTTGCCTGATTGCTGGTGCCTTAATGTTTTTTTTTTTTTTAGAGGTATTCCTACAGGTCAATAAGTTTTGAGACTTGGCAAATTGTCAGAAGCTTTCCACCAAAGGGGCACTATCCAGGTCAGGGTGATTTTGCTGCAATTTTAGGCCAAAACTTTGCTAAAATTATGACTGAGTACTGCCACTTGCACACAAAATACTCCCAGAACGCCGAAATAAAGATATGAAGTGAGTTATTGATGGGAGAGCTAACTGTAATTGTTTTTATTGATTTTTCGTCAACATTCCTATTCCAACAGAGTTTGAAACAGTTAGCCAACATTTCCAAAATACCAAAAGTTTTCAAGTCAAATCACTATATTTGGAACCTCTTGTAACTGAGCATCTCTCATAAGTGACCGCAACCACTTCTAGAGCTAAAAGTTTGAAATTTTCTTTTGTTTTTAACCTCCTGTAAGTGACCACCTGACAAATAATAAAGGGAAAATTGGATAACAAGTTGTAATAACATTATTACATTTCCTGGATAGTACACTGTATGGAAAATTCTTTATGAAAAGTAACAGATTTTTTTCAAAATTGATTTTTCACTTGAATAAAACATTTAAAACAGTCTCTGCAGCTACTGTATCTTATACCAATAAGGCAAAATTTTGAACCAATATAGTGTAAGCCATTGTAAGCGACGACCTCCTGTAGGCTCACGGGAAGTTCGACTGTAGTTCGGTCATAATTATTTTTGAAGCATGAGAAGTTTTCAGATTCTCCTTCGAGGGTGTAAACGAGATTTTGTAAGATGTTATTTTGCATTCTTTCAGTTTTCTATAGCACATAACATAGTGCCAAAATAAGATTAAAAAAAAAGGAAACAAACTGACACAGAGAGATTTTGTAAAAACACCTTGTCTTTCTGTAATCCCAGATTTACTCTTTTGCCAAAAAAATTAAGGTTAGAAAATATTTGTTAAAATTGCCTACAGCTGGACAGATTTTGTGAACATATCATCTCTTTACTGTTCTTCTTACATTTCTTGTAGTACAGCTTTGGATTATTCAACTGTTTTCCTCTCAGTGGGTTCAATTCAATTCTTTATTTACACTTTGAAAGTCCTTTACACACATTCTATATGGTAAAGTAATGAAAATAATAAAAATATTAAGTAATATTAAGGTGCAAAGAAATGAAAGTCATATGTGAGGGTTGACCAAAGTAGAGCTTTGTGGTTGGACACCGCCATGATCAAGTAAATGGCAGCATAAAAATTCAGCTAAGCTAGACCTACATACATCACATTTCAATATGCAATACACTACATTTACACTTGTACAGCTTCAGAATCAAACAACCAAATTAAACATAGCAGCAGCAAAATCGAGTTTGATTATTAAGAGGGTGGCATTTGTACACTTTCTTAAAGATATTTTTCAGTAGGTACTTAATTCCAAGGGGTTTAGATTCCCAAATTTTTGAACCAGAAAACTTATCATTTCTGTACACTAGATTACAGTTATAATGATTTTATATTGAGAAGGTTGATCTTGGCCACTCTGTTTTTATCAAAGGGTTGACTTCTGGTCATATTTTACTTATTGACACTTTTATGTTTCTCGTGCCATTTATTTTTCTCTTGTTACAGGTGTTTGGTTTGTACAAAGGCATGCTTTCTCCAATGGCCGGGGTAGGCCTCATAAATGCTATCCTATTTGGAGTCCAGGGTAATCTATCTCGTCTGCTGGAGCCAGGGTTATCCAGTCAGTGCATCGCTGGAGGAATTGCAGGTGCTGTTCAGTCAATTGTGTGCTGTCCAATGGAATTAGCAAAAACTCGTGTGCAAGTTCAAAGTTCTGCTAAGAAAGAATACCAAGGTTCGTTTGATTGCTTGCTAAAAATCTACCAACAACATGGTGTTAAAGGCTGTTACAAGGGGATGACCTTAACACTACTGCGAGAAACCCCTGCCTTTGCTATCTACTTTGGAACATTCGAGTTATTTTGCCACACACTGACACCTGAAGGAGATAGCATAGATTGTATTGGACCTCTGGCTATACTGATGGCAGGTGGATTGAGTGGAATTTCCTCATGGGTTGTTACTTACCCAATAGATGTTGTGAAGTCAAGATTACAGGCAGATGAAATTGGAAGGAAGCGTAAATATCATGGCATGTTGGATTGTATTCGTAAAACTTACAGAAGTGGTGGTTTGAGTGCATTCTCGCATGGGCTAACTGCGACAATTCTTAGAGCTTTCCCAACCAATG